CAACAACCACAACCCTACAACCCTCCTCCTCCGGAATTTTCGAAGGTTGCTTGGGCCAACCCTGGACCCCTAAACCCTGACCCCTGAACCCTAAACCCTGAACCCTAAACCCCAAACCCAAACCCTGAACCCTCCAGCCTGCCTTCGGCAGATTGCTGGACATAGCCTCCTCTACGCGCGCGATGAGCTCTGACTTCTCAAAGCAATCCTTGAGGCGATTGAAGGGGGCCCTTTAGAATCCAAAGGGCTCATACTTCAGAGCCCTTTAAAGAGGGTAAGGGACCACATGAAGGGCCCATGAACCTTCCCTTGAAGGACAACTCTTGCACATTACTGTCAATCTGAAACCCACCGACTCTCTGAGACTTAGGGGGTCTTGGGTCAAACCTAAGACCTGAACAGTTGTCAATTCGACCCGTGAAGCCGGGTTTAGGGTTTAGGGTTTAGGGTTTAGGGTTTAGGGTTTAGGGTTTAGGGTTTAGGGTTTAGGGTTTAAGGCGTGAAGCCCTGAAAATTTAGCCAACAGGCATTATGGCGAACGCCTCGTTCGTCCAAATACCTGGCTGCTCAGACTTTTGAAGCACGTCTGACCGTGTCTGGTCATTCCTTACGGGGGACCTGCACGTAAACCCGTTGTAAACAGAACTACATGGGGCTTTCCAAAAACAGGGGAACCGCAACATACATCCCCAAATAGTAGGATTCCCTTTCGTAAGGACCCCAATAAGGCACCCCCTAATTTCGGAAACACCCCCATATCGCCGCCATGCCCATGGTGCGTTGATGAGCCGTGTTTTCATTTGGAATCTGGGGGTCCCGGTCGCTAGCGGCTTTGGAGTTTAGGGTTTAGGGTTATATATAGGGAAAAAAACGAAGATGAACCTTACTGAGCCTTACCGTCTGGCCATACCGCAGGAGTCTTATCATCGCGCAGAGGGGGCCCTTCATAATTAGAAAAGGGTTCTGGGGCTGGTTTAGGGTTTAGGGCTTAGGGTTCAGGGTTTATTCTAGTATATAAAGGGATTATAAGTGAACTATATTCCGACCCCTAAATTAGGGCTTGAAATTTTAAGTTTAAGTCGGTCTAAGGGCTTTCTTCGACCTTAGGTGCTTTTGAAGCAAATTTCAGGGGCAGAGGTCCACACAGCGGAGCTGCCGGTGGGCATTCAGGGTTCATGCGGGTTTAGGGTTTAGGGTTTAGGGTTTAGGGTTTAGGGTTTAGGGTTTAGGGTTTAGGGTAAGTTTAGGGTTCTCTGGGGCATTCGCGGGTGTGCTTTGTCTGCAGAGCCATTTGGGGGTTTAACCGAAAATGGGGGCACCCTTTTTGGGGGGGTCCCTTTAAGGGGATTCTATTCTATTTGGGGGATAAAGGTGGCTTGAGGTGTAGGACCTGTAGGACTTGTCGGCTCCCAGCCTATCATCATAGTGACACCTGCTCGCAAGGACTGTTGTGTTGTTGTGTGCTGTTCCCAGCGACCGGCGCATTTCGCGCGGCGGCCAGGTGGCGACGTCTTCCAGCACACCTCTGGGCTTTCTGGGGAGCAGGGTTTAGGGTTTAGGGTTTAGGGTTTTCTGGAGAGCAGGGCTTCTTCGTTGAAGGTGCCTGAAGATACCAAACACCCAAGGCAACACACAGAACCAAGGTTAATGCTGTGTTCCCAATGTTGCGTTGCTGCTTCTAACCTTAGAACAACGGATGATTGCCCGGCAACCTGCAACTGAATTGTACCTGTAGAGACGTTACATCTGGGATGTTCCCCCCTTATACTAACAGTCCTGAATGGGGATTATTCAGCCCCCTACTAGACTCCCTATTAAGGACTGCGAGTATAAGGGTGAACATCCCAATGTTACATGTACAACTGAGAGTCTAGCCGATTGCAGGTCTGACTTGCTGTGCAGAGACAATCCCGACAACGCTGAATTTCTGAAGGCACGCTGTCCCAGCTGCTCTCCGAAGGACTCGGCAGAAAGCTCTTCCCCAACCCCCCCGCCCCCTCCCTCGAAGCATCTGCATAAAACCCTGAACCCCTAAACCCTAAATCCTAAACCCGAAGCCATAAAAGCAAACCGCAAGCCGAGAACCCAAAACATGGACCCTTCGAAACCGACGGAGTGCCTTGGGCGGTTCCTGCATGACGGAGGACGCCGGAGCTGAGTCGGCCTATCCGTCAAGGGTTTAGGGTTTAGGGTTTAGAGTTTACGGATTGAGGGTTGTCATGCAGATGTTCGTGTCTTAGCTGTTAGGTTTTAGGGTGTGGAGATGCAAGGGGTGAAAAGGTTTAGGTCCAGGCTCTACCCTGAACATGGACGATAAGAAATACCAGCACCTGAAACCATCAACCCCGCAACCCCGATTGCCAACCCCCAAAGCCAGAACTTAACACAAAAACTTGCAAGTCTGAGCCTGAGCTTGAAGGGAGGGTTAGGGTTTGGGGTTTGGGGTTTGGGGTTTGGGGTTTAGGGTTTAGGGTTTAGGGTCTAGGATGGTTTAGGATGGGTTAGGGTTTAGGGCTTAGGGCTCACGTGAAGCTCCGGCCTGCAACTCGCGCACTGCCGACGAAGGCCCGGCCGAGCCTGTCCGCTTTTAAAAGGGACCCCTTTGATTAGGGTTTAGGGTTTAGGGTTTAGGGTTTAGGGTTTAGGGTTTAGGGTTTAGGGTTTAGGGTTTAGGGTTTAGGGTTTAGGGTTTCGGGTTTAGGGTTTAGGGCTTAATGTTGACTTTCACATTAATAACCCCCCCCCCCCCCCCTTGGTTGATCAATCTTTTCGGCCAGGGCCTCCTCAATTGCATTCGCCTAAATCCTTGTAGGATTTTCCATTAGTTTTAGTATAGGTAGTAGTAGTAGTAGTAGTAGTAGTAGTAGTAGTAGTAGTAGTAGTAGTAGTAGTAGTAGTAGTAGTAGTAGTATTAGTATTAGTAGTAGTAGTAGTAGTAGTAGTAGTAGTAGTAGTAGTAGTAGTAGTAGTAGTAGTAGTAGTAGTAGTAGTAGTAGTATTAGTAGTAGTAGTAGTAGGAGTAGTAGTAGTGGTGGTTTGGGGGGTTAAGGGTTTTAGGGTTGAGGGTTTAATTAGTCAGGGTTGGGCTTAGGGCTTGAAACTCCCCAGAAAAGTTGGGGGAGACTGTTGGATGTGTTTTTGGGCAAGGCGGACTGGTGGTCTGAACCAGCTGATGGTGACTGGCTGGTGCTTAGTAGGTATTGAGTAGAATCCCTGAAAGGGTATATAGGGCCCTCATTTCCTCATTCCCTACTAAGAACCACAGGGATGATGTCGGGTTGTGGCCGGAAATCATATCAACTTCAGGCTCCCACAAGCATCGGCTCTATTCGCCTCGGCTTCCTGCCGAGAAGCGTCTGAACAAGCAGACCCGGATCGGGCCTCCCCTAACCCAACCCTTCCCCCCATCCAAATTTTTTTTTCTTCATGGCGTGGAGGGTCCGGACTCACTGAGAACCACCCCCCACCCCCCCCCCCCCCCCCCACCCCCCCACCCCCCCCCCCCCTCCACCCCACCCCCCTTTCCTGTCACAATTATCCCTTGACCCTCATAAAACCCCCCTTGTACCCCCCAATGTTAAATATTCCCATACACTATATCTTAACTGTACTGGCAGTGGTGAATGTTAGGGGGTTGGGAGGGGGTAGTAGTAACGGGAGTGGATTAATTAGTCGTCAACTACAAAAAGGCCAAAGCCAATTCCTTCAGCGGCTGCAAGAGAAAACTATCCGAAATCCCCTGTTTTGAGAGTGTACGCAGTACCCAGAAGCAACATATACCATAAGGGGCTCTACACTCTATTCCGCAGCAATTTATCACACAGCCTTCTTAAAGGCAATTTATGGCTGACAGCCGTCGCTGCATGCCTGCTCTAAGAATTGCTGGTCGTTGACTGCGCTAACGGTCCTGTGAGGTCGTGCTTGCGATTCACGTAACGAATTTATAGGTCTGGCTACAGTCAGGGAGTGTCGACTCAAGTATGTAATTCATGTCGCACATAACCACGGTACCGCCTGATTTCAAATCCAGAGCGCTTTGACTTTGAGAACAGGACGAATGGCGCGCAGTAGCAGTCCCTTGTGGTGCTGGGGCTGCCTGAAGCTCAACAGCATCGTGGACAGCAGCACCAAGGCAGCTGTGAGGGGACCTAACACGCCACGGCGTGCTGACAGGCCCATGGCTCTAGAAGGGGGGGGCGGAAGTTCGGAAGGCTGCTTGGGCTTTCGAAAGGGTGCATAAACCCTAAACCCTAAACCCTAAACCCTAAACCCTAAACCCTAAACCCTAAACCCTAAACCCTGCAGGGCTTAGAGGGTCGGGTGCTCCAGGGGTGCTGAGGGTTTCAGGTGGACTCCTAGGACCTTCGGCTGCGTGGTGCGGTATGAGAACTACGTCTCAACTTGGGACGCACCTCTTCACGTGGTCTCATGGCAGGACATGGCAGAGACATGCCATTTCTGAGCCAGAAAAGCTGAAGAGTCCATATCTTGACCCATTCCCCGCAATACTGACCCACCACCCTAATAATAATAATAACAATAATAATAATAAAATCGGCATATCCTTCGGCTTGACACAGCTCAAGATCAAAGCTGCTTGACTCCACAGCCGGACCCATGGGTTTGTTCTTTTTCTCCTTCACGGGCGGTTTGGAGTCAAAGTAGAATCTTCTTGAAGGCGCAATCTAAGCCCCAACGCCCGAGCACGTGGAAGCAACGAACGGGCTCATGCATCCTAGTACCCATTTAGGCCTTTCTAGATTCTAGGCTTGGTGCAAGGTAGAAAGGTGGAATTTGGGAATGAGATGTGCGGTGAGGGTCTCTGCGTTGCCCTGAAGGGCTTGCTATGTAGTTGAAAGCCCTGACGCGAATGGACCCTGACGCAGGCGATGAAACGCCAGCTAGAGGAATCTAGATTCGATGCCTCCCGGCCAGATTCTACTGGCACAAACTTTCGCGGAAGCACCCCCGAGTCATCAGGGTGGGTCTGAGTGCTAGGCTGCCGCATGACTGCAATGGACACGGATCGAGCCTTGCACGACTAGTCTGTCTTAAGTCTTAAGCCGTAAGGGCTTTAGATTTTTCGGCTGTGACACTAGGATTTTTGGACTCCTGTATTCAATCTGCAAAGGGTTCAGAGATAGAAGTACTCTAAGCTTCCCCAGCTCGGGGTTTCCGACCCTCCCTGCATTCAGGACTCTTCCCCTCTTCCCCGAGCACACGAAGCTTTAAGGTGTCTCAACTCGTCTCAACTTTCAGAGACGCGCAAGAAGCTGCAGAACCTCTTCGCCCCACACTCTTAGTCTCTGCATCCTACATTCGGCGCGAAGCAGACAGTCTAGCCCCAAGAGGGCTCAAGGGGCATGCACACCACTTTAAGGGTTAAGGGTTTAGGGTTTAGGGCTTAGGGCACAGCAACCAATGGTTCATGTCTGAACTTGCCGAGGGGCAACAGCACAGTCTCTGCAGCTGCTGATGCTTTACCTGGAGATTGAGCCCACAACTGCGTTCACCTTGCAGTGCTGCGAAGCCTTCGCCAGCTGCTCAGGCAAGCACGCAACATGCACATCATTTTGTGTACCTGAACCTTGGACGACTGCAGCGGGGAAACCGAGGCGATCGAGAACAGAATCCCAAGACGAAACCTCGAGTTTGAACAAAGAGCTGTATACTGAGACCCTAAGCCCTAAACCCCAAACCCTAAACCCTGCTAAACCCTTAACATACCTCTGCAGTCCTCAAAGCATGAGCTTGGAAAGGCTGATTCGAGGTGACCAGGGGATGTTTGGCGACTTCCGGGTTTAGGGCCGGAGCCTGTGGGCTTGCCCACGGTGAGCTAAGGGCTCAGGCACCTTAAGTCCTACAGTGCCCTATGCTACACCTTTGGGGTTTGGGGTTTAGGGTTGAAGGTTTAGGGTTTAGGGTTTAGGGTTGAGGGTTGAGGGTTGAGGGTTGAGGGCCCTATGCTATACCTTGGGTCTTAAAATCCCAGGGAAAAGACTGCCCCCCACAGGATCTAAACAAACTCCAATGCCCCAATCTGGGGGCCTTAAGCTCGCGACTGCCTGTCGGGTTAGTATGGGTTGGGGGGAGCTAGCCCAAAAACCCAAAACCCTAACTAAACCATGAGTAACCCTCAGCTCTTGTACTTTTGGAGTGGGAGTGTGGCAGGGCGTGCCTCCCTAAACCCTATAAACTCTATAAACCCTATGAACCCTAAGCTATAAACCCTAAACCCTGAACCCTGAACCCTAAACCCTAATCCCTAAACCCTAAACACTAAACCCTAAACCCGAAACCCTGTTTTTTTCCACGGGCGGTCTGATGAAGCAGTGCCTCGGTCCTGCGCCGGCCTCAGATCTCCTTCTTCTGCAGCGATGGCCTGGGGAGTGGGCAGCTTTGTGCAATTGGGGGCCCCCTGTACTATGTGTTTTTGCTATAGGGTTCAGGGGTTTAGGGTTTAGGGTTTAGGGGCCCCTGTACTCTAGGAGCCTCAACAATCAAAATAATAGGGTCTTTGGGGTGCTATTGTACTGTAATATACATGCAAGGGACCAGAAAGGAATACTACTAGCAACTATTCCGACCCCCTCTACCCCCTCGCCACTGCCCGGTACCAAGTACAGACATCTCAGGGAATCCCATCTCGGATCACCAAGGGATGAGACTAAAATCCTCGCCCGAAAACCCAATATGGGGCCAAAAAAAAAAAAGATTTGGGGGGATTATTATAGTATATTTACAAAGGAACCATAAGGGAATACTGTTAGTAATTATTCCCACCCCCGGAAACCCTACACCTCCCAAAGCCTTGAAGCCCGAGAACGCGAGATCCCCACAGCCCCGTGAGCGCATGACGGGAGAGACTGCTTCAGCTTCTCAGCCTGGCATGTCTGGCGATTTATCAGGTTAGGCTTGGCAGCTTAGTGGCTTCAGGGTCTTCTGGCTGCGCCTCTTTGGGTATGCAAGTAAGGCTTGTGGTTGGTGATTGGGGCTCCAGGGCTTAAGGGCGTTGCGGTTCTTACGGGGTTGGCAAAAGGGTGTTGAGGGATCAGCCTTGAAGCTGGGGCGGCGTACGTCCTGAAAGCCTTTACGTTGGGATGTTCCCCCCTTATACTAACAGCTCCTTGATAGGGATTATAGTCCCCCCCATTTATAATCCCTATTAAGAACTGCTAGTATAAGGGGCAACATCCCAACCTCAATGACTCAACCCCCCAAAACAAGGACACGAAGCCTTGGTCTTGTCGGTCATGATCAGGGTGTAGAGGTATCGGCTGCACCTCTGTCTTCCACACCGACCCTAAGCCGTAGTTCCTATAAGGCCTATAAGCACAGACTTCCCAAAGGGAAAGCTTTGAGGGCTGAGGCACTCGTTTAGCACGGCACCCGCAAACCAAAAAAGAGCTCAGACGCAGCTGAGAGACCCTTCAACTGTCAGCCTGAGGCCCTGAATAAACTCGGAAACCCGGACACACGAATCGGCAGAAAGATCTGTCTGAAGCGCTTTTACTTTGCTTTGTCGTATATGATGTGCCCGGGACTCTGCCAGGAAGCGTTTGGCTCGGATGCTGCAGGGCTTCGAAAACCTTGCTCCCCTGAACCCGAGAACTTGAACGCGAAGCTCAGCCCTAAAAACCAACTAACAGAAACCCTACACTCACTAGACCTTACACCACATCCGAAAACCTGCAAACCTGCTAAACCACACCTGCACCCCAATCTCCACACCCCGGCTGTCCACAACCACAGATCCTAAGCAGTTACTCCTCAAGCTAAACCCTAAACCCTAAACCCTAAACCCTAAACCCTAAACCCTAAACCCTAAACCCTAAACCCTAAGCCCAACTCCCCAAAACCCCTCCGTCCAGAGCTGCTTGAACCCTAATCCCCGGAACAATCCGAAGCACAAGGTCACGCCGAACCCTAAAGAATTCTTGGGATGCCTGATCTTGAACTTGGTCTGGGTCCCGTTCTTCTTGATCTTCACCTGGGTTTAGGGTTTAGGGTTTGGGGTTTAGGGTTTAGGGTTTAGGGTTTGGGGTTTGGGGTTTAGGGTTTAGGGTTTGGGGTTTGGGGTTTAGGGTTTAGGGTTTAGGCTGATTGGGCGGGAATAATATGCCCGGGCCTTGCAGGGGGGCTGAACCCTGGGGGCCATCCCAGGCCGATGACAGGTCCCCCCAACCCCTCGCTTTAGGGTTGGTCTTTAGCCAACCATTCTCCTCGCCAGAGTCTAGTTTTTGCTTTACGGGGGTGGGACGGTTCGGAGTTGCTAGGGTTTGTAGTGAGGGGTTCGGACTGCCAGCGTAGCTTACGTAGCTGCCGGACGTCCCACATGCTAATCCTCAAGTCCTCGCCCGCCCATGGGCCCCGGCCCCTGTCCCCACCCACCCCCCCCCCCCGGGCAGAGAAAAAAGTGAAAAGGTCATTGAATCAACCCACCGTGGCTTCCAGAGATTCTATGGCTCAGGATTTTTAAGGGCTCTGGGACTCTGGGCTTTTCGGGCTCGGGACTCAAAGCCTCACAGCCTCACAGCCCTAAGCTCTAAACCCTAAACCCTAAACCCTAAACCCTAAACCCTAAACCCTAAACTCCCTCCCGCAGAGCCCAAGCGTTCCCGCAGTCAGGGAACGGATCGGGCATCCTTCCTGCGGGCGATCTGGAGGAACCTGGGCAAAATACTCATGGGGGTCGGCAGGTGCCAGGGGCTCTGGGTTGCTGGGGGTGGTGGCTGAGGTTCTAGGGTTTTGGGCCAGCTTCTGGTCGAACCCGGCTCTATTGCCCGATGTTGACTAGAGGATTTCCGATCCCTAAACCCTAAACCCTAAACCCTAGAGTTGATGGACCTGACTGCTTTTGAGGCATACGGTTCCGAGTGTCGAAGTGGGAGGGGGGCCTCTGGCACATTCCCTTGACTTGTCAGTGATTCAGGTTTAGGGTTTAGGGTTTAGGGTTTAGGGTTTAGGGTTTAGGGTTTAGGGTAGAGTTTAGGGTTTAGGGTTTAGGGTTTAGGGTTTAGGGTTTAGGGTTTAGGGTTTAGGATTCAGTTCTTCCTGGGAGGTCCGTCAAATATCTGGATTACAGACGCAGCCTATCCAGCAAGAGTTTTCATACTGGCTGTTGCCGTTCGCCAGGGCGTCGACTTCCAGGCATGGGGGTTCGATACAATGCATCTATGGGCTTCAACTTAAAGGTAGAGCAGATGCATAGCCGTCAGGGTCCATGTACCTAACTATTATACACTTGGGCCCCAAAGTCGCTTTCTAGCAGGTACTTTAAGGCCCAAGTACTCCCTATTTAGGTACATGGGCCCTTAGAATGAAGCCCAAGCTCAGAAACAGCATGGACCCCTCGACCTCAATCTCTACGCATGCAGAAACACGATTTTGGGTGGCAGCTCCTGTTTCTGTTAGGGTTTAAGGTTTAGGGTTTAGGGTTTAGGGTTTAGGGTTTAGGGTTTAGGGTGTAGGGTGTAGGGTGTAGGGTTTAGGGTTTAGGGTGAGTGGACACAAAGGAAGCTGTAGTTTTTTCGGGGGCGAGGGCTTTGGGGATTCAACGGATTTGGGCGTGTGAGGGAGCTTAGGGCAAAGGTCAAGTGCCTCGCCATTGACCAAGGCTGGGAATGGGTCAACTTGCATCAAACCCCATAGATTGGAATGTTCCCCCTTGTACTAACAGTCCTTCATCGGGATTATAGTAACCCCCCCCCCCGCACCCCCCACCCCCCACTAAACCCTAAACCCTAAACCCTAAACCCTAACGCCTAAATCCCTGCTAGTATGAGGGGCAACATCCCAACCTATAGACTCTTAAACTCTTAAACCCTCTGGCCAGGGACGAAGGCGGAGGAGAACTAAGAGTTTAGGGTTTAGGGTTTAGGCGTTGCTGAGCCATGCTACTTCTTCATTCTGCCGACACCTATTCGTACCACACGGCAGCTAGACAACGAATACCAGGCCTGCCCTGATAAAACCCTCTGAAAAAAAAGTCACAACATTTGATCCTCTTAAACCCAATAAGGGAAAACACAAAAGGTCCCAAGGTGCTACCTAGAATATGAACAAAGAACGGATCTTGGAAACTTAACCCGGGAGTCCAACCTGCAGACCCGAACCCATGGGTCCTCAGTCCAACATCACGCTCTCTACAGTAACCTAAGGGTCCATGTACCTAATCATTATACACTTGGGCCCCAAAGTCCCTATATAGCAAGTGCTTTAAGGCCCAAGTACTCCCTATTTAGGTACATGGACCCTTAGGGTAAGCTCCAAAAAGTTGGAACATCCGTATCCCCAAACCCCAAGAAGGTATACTGAAGGGAATCCCAGCTCTGATCTTCCTTAGACCATGTTCCAACTTTCTGGAGTTTACTGCAAGGACCTTTTTGTGCCACGCTCCGCAAGCATCTCGTGTTAGGACGCAGGCGGCGCGCGAGAGGATTCCTCGGTGTGTCCATGGGCTTCAGCGCTTGGGAGCGTAGTTCTAGGGTCTGTGCAGGCTCTTGTAAGGTTTGAGGTTAGGGTTGAAGCTTCAAAAGGCTTAGTGGACTATGAAGGAAGTGCGCAAAGCGGATTTTGCCTACTTCTGCCTGCGCTAGCGGCAGAAGGACTGCGTTGTACGCGAGTCTCCGATGTTCCTGGGTCATGCTTGCCAGCACACAAGTTGAGGCAGGAAGCCCTAACCCCTAAACCCCTCAACCCCTAAACACCTAAGTCCTAAACCCCTAAACCCCTGAACCCTAAACCTTACACCCTAAACCGCAAGAGTGGCGACTTTCTGACCCCGGAGAGTCTCCGAAAACCGAGCGCCTGAACCCAAGGCAGCCAAAACGACGAGAGAACAGATTTGGTGTATACCTAAAGGCCTAAAAACCCGTGTAGGAGCCCTTATACCGCAATAGTAGGACCCACATGTTGATGTGGTTTTTGGGCCCCTAGATAGAGGAGAGTTGCCGACACGTAAACCTGCCATACTCTTATATCGACTTTACCATCTACGGATATTTCTCCTGATGTTTTAGCTTATTCATCACAACCTGATGCCCACTACAGAATATCAATGGCCATGGCGCGACGATGGCCAGGATTTCATCAAGATCGTCCTCCAACAAAGTTATATGCACATGAAGCCCTGTCATCCGCAGATGTTGCAAGACGTTTGCGCTTGCAATTGTGATTTTCAGCCGGCAGCCGAGGACTTCGAAATCTTGTACCAAAAGAAGCTTCGCACACCAACAGACTGACCAACCCCAGAGCCAGAACTTTTGCAAATGTACACCGAGAGCTTCACAGAAATGGGCTAGGGGACCCCCCCAAACCCCTGCAGCCTGCAGCCCCCACCTTCCAACCCTGAAGCGCCAACCCTAAACCCTAAACCCTAAACCCTAAACCCTAAAACCTAAACCCTAAACCCTAAACCCTAGACCCTAGACCCTAAACCCTAAACCCTAAACCCTAAACCCTAAACCCTAAACCCTAAACCCTAAACCCTAAACCCTAAACCCTACCCTAACCCTAACCTCCACATACGTTTGCTCTTCAGGGGTCCTGGCTGAGGCCAGACATAGGTGCCCCGGACGCGCCCTGCACCGATGCCCACTTTTGTTCCGAATGGTGGGAAGCTTTCTGCTGGGTAAGGAGTTGGGGCATTGCAGGAAAGGAAAGCGGCGCATGTAACACATCACCTACGAGGCTCCTCCAAGGTAGTTGTCCTTGTGTGCATCGGATTCTGTTCAAGATGCACATTGATGACGAAGAGATGATCGATTCCCTGGCCCAAGTCGGAACCCGTACGTAAAAATCTTCTTCGATTCTTACCATGCCTGAGCAATTCTCAACTTCGTCTGGCGATTGAGGGTTTACAATGATGCGAACCGGCGTCTGACACTAGGTCCCAGGGTCTACACACCTTAACCTTCGAACTTCGTCCGCCCACCGCGGTCGTGCTGGTCATCTTTACGTTTCGTGAGGAGCCATAACTTTCGAGTTGGAGGTTGGCGGTAGGCCCCTGACCCTACTTACAACTACGCAAGCATCGTCAAGCAGACTCGTCCCTGCTTGCATCGATGAAAGAATGCGGCCAACCAACCCGACGACTAAAGCCTAGCTGAGAATGTCGCGTTGGTGGAGTTTGTAGAAAACCTAAGTCCTGCTCTCGCAATGTCGTGACCGAAGCATACCGAAGCCCTATATCCAGCGCTTACATTTGTACGGCTCAACTTTACTTCATCAAAGCGCTGATTGGGCCAGGTGTCGGAAGCTTAGAAAGTGGAGGGTTCAGGGCAGACTTTGGCGTCTATCGCTTTGTTATTTTGGGGGGAAGCCTCTGTTGAGTGGTGTTTGGTGGGGGTTTACGAAAATAAGGGACCCCGAATATAGACGCCCAAGTAATAGGATCCCCCTCATGAAACGGAGCCCCCATAAGGTACCCCGAATTTCGCAAACCCCCATATCCCTAAGCCCTAAACCCTAAACTCCTGAACTCTAAACCCTCAAACTCCTAAACCCTATAAGCCCTTAAACCCTAAACTCCTAAACCCTAAACTCCTAAACTCCTAAACTCCTAAACTCCTAAACTCCTAAACTCCTAAACTCCTAAACTCCTAAACTCCTAAACTCCTAAACTCCTAAACTCCTAAACTCCTAAACTCCTAAACTCCTAAACTCCTAAACCCTGAGCCCCGCGCCTTCACCAGGTGCGTGCGGCAGACGCGGGCCGCACTCTGAAGTTCCCGAGGGTCGTCGTCCACGAAGAGCACCTCCTCAAACTGCAGCCTGGGGGGGGTTTAGGGTTTAGGGTTGAGGGTTTAGGGTTTGGGTTTAGGGTTTAGGGTTTAGGGTTAGGGATTAGGGTTTAGGGTTTAGGTTTCGGGTTTAGGGGTTTAGAGGTTAAGGGTTAGGGTTTAGGAGGGGCGGTGCGGGCGACAAATGCTCTTGGGCTTAAAAGCATGCTGATTAAGGTTTAAGTGGCTCTGGGCTTTTCGCGGGGGCTTTAGGTAATTGAGGGTTTTTGGCTAGGTCTGACATTTGGGGCGAGGCGGAATAGTAGACTGCGGCTTAAGCCTCCGCTTTCTGCGAGCCCGCCAACCTCTTACCCGGATGGCCCTAAGAAGGTGCAAGTTCTGCCAACCCCTCAAACTCCGAAGCTTATGATTTCTAGCCCAAGTAACGTAGCAATCAGAAAAGCTTGCTCGGCTTTTTAAAGAAGCCTGCCAGCCTAACCCTAGCCAAAGAGATAAAGGTACCACTGGAGTCATAGAATGAGTACTGCAGAGATACAACCAAAGCCAAAAAAAAATCGACAGAACCGTGCCAGGAGGCTGATGCTGGGCTTTCAGGTCGCTGATTAGCGCCCCTGGCTCATTTGGGTTGTTTAGGGTTTAGGGTTTAGGGGTTTGGGTTTAGGGTCTAGGGTCTAGGGTCTAGGGTTTAGGGTTTAGGGTTTAGGGCAAACTGGTTGAGGGTCGAGGGCCTCTAGGGGTCCCTAGAGGTTAGGGTCGTTTGAACGACATTTTTGTCGTTCAGTGAGGGGTCTTGATACACAAAGCTTGCAGGGCGTATGCTTTAGGGTGGCTGCTCTCTTTGCTGTGCTTCGTGGGTTGGCAGCTGGGGTCCTAGGTTTAGGGTTTAGGGTTTAGGGTTTAGGGTTTAGGGTTTAGGGTTTAGGGTTAAACACTAGACACTAGTCTACGTGCGCCTCGACCGAAGCTTCCCACGCAGCACATGTTGCGGAGAGCAACCGCGGACGGTCGTACCAAAGTGCTTGGTGCAGTAAAACTCGTTTTACGGCTCACAAGATCCCCCGAACGCACCAGCCCTATAGCCCCTGAAGCCCTACACTCAGCTCGAGCATCCTGCTGCCGCAGGGTTTTGAAAGGTCACGCCCGTGTTCTTTACTCTCAGTTGTTTACAAATAGAGCCTCAACTAATTCGAATGCGGCTCGCTTCGGCCCCTAGAGGTTGCTCTAGTTCATGGTTGGGAGAGTATGAACAATTTAAAATTCATATTGCTTCTTGAGTTTAAGTACCCAGAAAAATGCAAAATGTTACCCCACAATGACAAAGTTTCTTTCTTCTTGGTTTCTGCATTTCCAGTCCTTAAGGGCCCGACATAAGCCATGAACATATTTCAAACCCTTCAAGTTGCACAAGACCCCCTCTTCCAGAAGGCCTCAATGTTGCAACCTTACCCCCTAAACCCTAAACCCTAAACCCTAAACCCTAAACCCAAAACTTCCGAAACTAAACACCTCCCCTAAACCCGAGCCGGGGCCTTTGCTGGCAGTGAATGTGCAGTCCGCGGTTCCCAGCCTCAGATTTGTGGGGCTCGACCTCAAACGCAAAATCTACATCGCCATAGACCCAAGACCGTTTAACCATGCGAGGCGTTTCAATTCCCGCGGGCTTGAGGGGGTTTTCGAGTCGGTCTGGGTTCGAGCATTCGCTGATCGTTTGGATGCTGTGGGTCCCCGAAGGGTCCACCTACCCATATTTGTATATACTTGGGGTCTAAAGTTACTACAAAGCCCCTTTAACAAAAGCCCAAGTATATATATATATGTATATGTATATACATATATATATATATATGTATATAGCGCGCTGACTCCCTACTGTACGAAGGAGCAAATTGGAGCAAACACGGTGGCGGCAAACATTAGCATCGCATGAGCGGCAGGAACGAAACCAATGCATGCCGAAGGTGGGTCACACGCTAGTCATAGATGGTAGTGGCGGCACGTGACTCTAAATCACAGCTGTTTCGTGCACATTCCCGGTTCCAGCTCCTGCAAGCTGTTGCAGTGCCCAAGTCCAAGGGTTCAACCTTCGGCACGAACTCAAGAGTGTGGTGTCCGAGCGCCAGAACAAGACTGAGTGGCCTCCAGCTACTATTTGCTCAGGAACCTCCCCAAAAAATATGAAAGAAAATTCCCCATAAGGCCCTTCTAAGGAAGAATATTGTGGGTTTTGTAAACTGGAATCGAGCTCCTGCATCAGCCCTCAAGCGCCTCAATTCGCCTGTCCCAGAGAGTGCCTCGCGCTTCTCAATATGCATACATAGGAAGGCCATATCGCGTAGCCGATATGGCCTTTGGATTTTTTATATAGATGCCACAATAAGGCCACTGGTGGACTCAGTGGAACCTGTGCTTGGGTGCATCTCACAGTGGTCTCCGCCAATCGGTGGATTCGAGCCGAAAGACCCCGCCAAGGTGTGACCCTTACTTGGGGCGATGTGCTCAATCCAGCTCAGTCATGCCAATCCTCTTTGAATCCAAACACGGCCCCTTCTTGTGGTCGTTATATGGCCTCCGCTGCTCCTGAGCCGAAACAAACGGCCACTGGTTGCTGCTTACCTGCCGAAGTCGGCATTGTTCCATGTTGATTCCTATCCCGAAACTACTTTTGTTGAGCTGCTCTCGTAGAACGCAGTTGCTTTTTTGTCCATGCTGAAGCCGCTCCTGCGCGCGGCTGGGTTCCCTTCCGAATTTGTGGCGGGCGGCCTAGTCAGGTGTCAAACTCTCCGGCTTCTTCGCTTCACAGTCCTCAAGTCTGTTCTTCAGGGTGCATGTGCCCTGCAGAACGCTCCCTGCATGCAGCGGCAGGTTCTTTCCGCCACACATGCCGTGTGATGAGTTTGGGTAGCCTCACCGGTGCACACGCTATACACGTATCTGCAACTTGCGCAAGGGCGAGACTGCTGAGTAAGGACTTGAACCCTAAACCCTAAACCCTAAACCCTAAACCCTAAACCCTAAACCCCCAAAGCAAAACAGAAGCAAGCGAGCTACGTCCCGGCATGCCAAAGGCTTCTGCCATCTGAGGTCGCGGCAGCTCCGCGACATCCTAGCAGCGGGACAGCAAGCTCATGGGAGACCCTAGAGGAACTCATAGAGGGGCCTGAAAAATTAAGTAGGGTTTAGGGTTTAGGGTTTAGGGTTTAGGGTTTAGGGTCTAGGGTTTCGGGTTTAGGGTTTAGGGGTTATATAGGGGCCTGAATAATGAGAATAGGGTTTGGGGAGGTTCTTATAGTATAACTATACAGGGATCATAAGGTAATACTATTAGTAGTTCTTCCAGCCCCTATAGTCCGTGAACCCCAAATCCTACGTTCCACATCCGCATCGCCTCACACCGAAAGGGTCAGCGCCTGAAAACATCCCATGCAACAGCCTTGCAACTCTAAGACTGCGGACCCCAAGGGTTCCATGTACCTAGACAAGGAATAACTTGGGCCTTAAAGTACTTGCTAAGGACTTCGGGGCCCCAGGTATATAATAAGGTACATGGACCCTTAGGGGAAGTTCCAATGTGCAGACTGCTAGGACATTAAGCCCCCCACACGCCATCAACACATGGGGAATTACAGAGCCTCAAGCCCGATGAAGCCGACATCCGGGATCTGAAACCATCCGAACCCCCTAAACACGAACGTTCCTGAACCCAGGCTGCCTCTCAACATCCAAAAACCCTGAGCACCACAAAGTCCAAACACCAAGTGATTCAGTCGAGATTCCGTGGGAGGAGACCACTTCTCCACGGAGGACATGATGTCGAACTCCTGCGGCATTCCGCCGTGCGGGCCGGAAAGTTAAGTCTGGGGTGCAAGGGTTTCGGGATGTGGGGCTTGCTACAAGAAGCCACGAACCGTACCTGAACACCATCTGAGTTCTCAACTCTTAGATTTCATGCCGAAGCTCTCCGAAGAAGCCGAAATCACAAGGCTTCTGCGACATAGCATACCTCTACCAATTGCTTAAGAACCTCCAACAAAAATTCCTTATAAGGGTAATATAGGGATTATTGTTTTTTTCCTTTTTTTGGGGGGTTCTTCAGCAAATAGTAGACCTGCTATCCACCTACTACTGTCAACCCCCTGCAGGGCCATTGCTATAGGGGGTTCGCGCTCGGGGAAATCTCGGGATCAATCGATGTCTGCTCGCACTTTCGGAGGCCCAAGGCGTCAAGCCCTCAAATGGTGAAAGTGGCGGCCCGCCTGTGAACAGCCGTAGCAATCCCCGACATTGCCGAACACGGTCCTCAGCGTAGGAGACTTTTTTTCGACTGGGATGTAGCTGGAGGACTCCAGGTGAAGTATTCGATGGTGCCTTTTTTTTCCCTCGCTTCCAATGCAACAGCGCCGCAACCAAACCAAACTGCCGACTCGACCAACCCACGTGAGGCTAAGCACCGTCCCTAAAGCTAAACCCTACACCCTCCAGGCCCCAGAGAAGTGTGCCTTCTAGGATAAACTCCTTGGGTGTAGCTGGGCCTTTGACCTGTCACAATAGAGCCCGTCCATAAGTTCTTACAACCTGCGATTGAAGGGAAAGACGTCGCTGGTAGTCCCCCCTGCCCTCCCCCCCCCCCCCCCCCCCGCCCCAGCGGCCCACGGGTGACCCGACTTTGGGGGATGCCAGGAAGTTGCGTCCAGCTTGGTTGGGAAACTGATCTTTTCGTGCCTGTTGAATCCCAGGGGCGTCTGCCAAGGATTCCTGGAAACCCTAAACCCTAAACCCTAAACCCTAAACCCCTAAACCCCTAAACCCCTAAACCCCTAAACCCTAAACCCTAAACCCGAAACCCTAAACCCTAAACCCTAAACCCCTAAACCCTAAACCCTAAACCCCGCCGACAGGAGCCCGGGAGTCCCACTTGCCCTCGATGTCGAGCCTAACAGGGCATCCTGCAAGCCCGGAATCGAACAGCGAAGAGAGCTTCTACGGCTGCCAAAAAAACATGAAACATTAACCCTAAACCCTAAACCCTAAACCCTAGAACCATTCACACGCGTACGAGTATACTGCCAAACACCACAGCAGCACTTTGCAAACACCTGAAATGAACCTCAAAGCCCTGCACTGTCTGGGGCCCGAGCGGGAAGAACCGGAGCAGACCGCAGTCCTGACCAGGCGCTCTCGGGTCTTGCAGTGGGATTCTGGACCTGAGCTGATAGGGGTCTGGGGGAACGACTGAAGGTTGGAGCTTGGGGTTCAGGATTCAGGGATTCAGCATTGATCCATTCTGCTTGAGGGTTGAAGCTGGCTGGTCACCTTTCGCGATAATGTTTAAGCTTGGCTTCCGGCAAAAGTCACCTCACTCACCTGCTACTGGCTGGATACAGCAGCCCCAAAGCCCGGAACGTGGCTGCCCTACACGGGCCGCAGGGCCATGAACAACCGACCGTTCATGCCTAACCTCAACTCTGACCACAGTGCTCTCATGTGCCCCCCCGCAAAGCCTTCAAGCCCACACAAAGTTTTCGTCAAAAGGACAGGAATGAGGAGATCATGCACCCATGCACTCATGGCAGAGCAGGCACTCTGCACCATGGGGGAGCACTTCGATAGCCACTCATTTGACAGGACGAAGCACGAAGATGGCAAACATGCGCTCTACACAGGGTTAAGAAAGCCCCGAGCCCCCCTGCCCACCACCATCCCGTGAGAGTTCCGAGTTTAGATGTGGTAATGGCAAGCCTAAGCCCTAAGCCCTCAGCCCCAAGCCCCAAGCCCCAAGCAGTAAGCCTTAAACCCTAAGCCCTAAGCCCTAAGCCCTAAGCCCCAAGCCCTAAACCCTAAACCCTAATCCGAAGCCCAACCGAAGCCCAAGTCCTGGAGGATCTTCCGGCAGGTCCCTACAAGGCCCTTTGTGCAAATGATGAGGTCCACCTCCGCTTCCTGCGGCTGGTGTAGAAACCCTGAACCCGAAACCCTAAACCCTAACACAGCTAGCCGAATGGGGCCCTCTCAACCCTGCTGAAGAAGCTTCCCAAGCCCACAACAACATCCATGCCCTCAAATGGGTAGCTCTCCACATGGCTCGCTTGTCTAAGTTAATTCAGTACTGCACCCTCAGGTTCTCCTAATTATAGAGAAGCAACCGATGTGTACACATCTCAATCCTACGACTAGACCCACGTCTTGCCTATGGGAACCTGAACACTAAAAACAAGGGAATAAGGGCCTAGCCTGGGTCCTAGACAAAGAGCGCCCCAAACCCTGGGCAGACTAACATCCAAGCCCCATGCATCCTATAAACCCTGACCTAACCCCTATACCCTGAACCCTAAACGCCAAACCCCATACCCTAAACCCTAAGCCCTAAACCCTGAACCCTATACATCCCTGAGTTAGACCCCTTACGAGAACTCTGAACTTCATCCTCAAGCCCGAAAGCCCCAACCCTCATCCTCTACCTTGTAACATAATTGCTGAGTACCCTGGCCTAACACAAGGTTTAGGGTTTAGGGTTTAGGGTTTAGGGTTTAGGGTTTAGGGATTTAGCCTTTCAATTCTGGTAGGGTATGTACACCCCAAAAGGTTGACGGCTATCTACTCAGCTACTGAGATGACTCTATCAGCTTGGTTTGGAGTTTGGAGCACCCTACTCAGCAAGAAGGCATATTACAAGCGGCAAGTGCACGGGGAACCAAACAAGGGACAACAGGGAACGGACCGAATGCATGATTCCTAAACCCTAAACCCTAAACCCTAAACTGCCCTAAACCCTAAACCCTAAACCCTAAACCCTAAACCCTAAACCCTAAACCCTAAACCCTAAACCCTAAACCCTAAACCCTAAACCCTAAACCCTAAACCCTAAACCCTAAACCCTAAACCCTAAACCTAACCCTAAACCCTAAACCCTAAACCCTAAACCCTAAACCCTAAACCCTAAACCCTAAACCCTAAACCCTAAACCCTAAACCCTAAACCCTAAACCCTAAACCCTAAACCCTAAACCCTAAACCCTAAACCCTAAACCCAACACACAAGGCCTGCAGCCGCCGCAGCGTTTCTGACAGGATCCGCACCCTGGGCTCGCCGCCCAGCGCTTCAAAGCTAAAGCCAGAACCTGGGAGTTGAATGGGTAGGGTTTAGGGTTTAGGGTTTAGGGTTTAGGGTTTAGGGTTTAGGGTTTAGGGTTTAGGGTTTAGGGTTTAGGGTTGAGGGTTGAGGATTGAGGGTTGAGGGTTGAGGGTTGAGGTTTAGGGTTTAGGGTAGATCCCCAAACTGTAGGATCCCCCTTTATAATAAGGACCCCAATAAGGTACGCCGAATTTTCGGAATCTCCCAAATAAGGTTTGAAGGGATTTCGACGGGTCGAGGCGGTGGAGGCGGTTCCGGGTACTTGGAGGTTCAGGGTTTAAGGTTTAGGGTTTATGGGGTTTGGGGACCCAATTCTACAACTGTACTGTATTAAGTACCATGAACCTCCAAGTAGGGTTTAGGAACTAGGGCGTTTGTGGGGTCCTGGCTTTGGCCTCACACCTTGGGATGTTTCCCCTTATACAATCAGTCCTTGATGGGAATTCTAGTACCCCTTATGATAATCCTATTAAGGACTGTTAGTATAAGGGAGAACATGCCAACTTACACCCCAGATTCAATCTCTCCAAGCCCACTCAACTGCTCAACGCATGCGTTCAAGCCCCCTATTTAAACACGATGGACAAACGCAAAGCCGCCCGAATGAACCGGAAGCCGATCCCTGAAACAGAACTGAACCGTTCTGAACCAAACAACCCTTAAGCCCTGAAGCCAGCAAACGCCATGGACCCGAATATCCGAGAAAAACAAGCTTGAAGACTAATGAGTCGGTAAACTCACAAGTACGGTAACGCACACAGAAAATCTGCACTGGCGACGACCCCATACAGCATCGATGGACTTGGAAGGCACTGGGGCACCACCGAACTAAACCCACGTTCTACCCAAGCCAGGTGCGCTCCTCTTCTCTTCGGAGCTGATTGGGGAATACCTGGACTTTATGTGCTTATACAACCCTAGCTTGGGCCACGACCCGAATCTCCCCTAAATCCCAAACGCCCTGAAGCCATGGGCCCCAAAAATCCCGAAAGCTGCTCCGAAAGATTCTTATAGAAGGCCAGGAGGCCGAGGGCGAGTAGCCGACGCACCTGACCTCCGAGATGGCACTCTCGGCTTTTGGAAGGATTCGGCGCGCTTAGACGTTTTAGTTTGGGTTGTTTGGGTTTGCGGGGGGGGGGGGGGTGGGGGGGGGGGTGTGGGGGGGGTGGGGGGGGGGTGGGGGGTGGGTGGTGGGTGGGTGGGTGGGGGGGTGGGGGGGTGGGGGGGTGGGGCGGTGGGTGGGTGGGTGGGGCGGGTGGGGCGGGTGGATATTGGTGCCTGGGTAGGGGCACTAGGGTCTAGGGCTTGGGGGCTATTAGGGCTTTGGGCTGGAGAAGGATGTGCGTCTGGCTTTGCAGGTCTGAGATGTCAGAGAGCAACGCTGGCTTATAGGGTCTTCGCTCTTGGGAACTCTTCCTCCCCCCCCCCCACCCCAGCCACTGCGCTACCCTGAACAGCTGTCCGAGAAACTCAGGCGAGTCAGAATCCATACATGGAGGTTTCAAAAAGTAGCAATACCCTATTGGGTCCTTATTATCAGGGAATCCTATTATGTGGGGGTCGATATGAGGGCTCCCCTATTTTCGTAAACCCCCACGTAGCCCTCTCAACTGTCCCGCATATAGGGCACCTCGCTCAGTGGTGGCCCACGGCGGGCTGGCAATGCATCGGCCAACGCCCTGACAACCCAAAGAACAAGGGACGAAAGGAGAGACCCTTTACAAGGGACCTTAGGGGTTAGATAGGGGGGCTATTTGGGTATATCTGGGGAATATATATATATATATATATATACATATATATATATATATCTGTATAATACAGGGGTTACATAGGGGAATAAGATTCAGGGTCCTTTCTAGGGGTCAATCCTTGTACCCCTCAACAGCACATTACAAACCCTATAATGCCCCAAGCCCTGACCATGGCATGCGCCCACCGACCACAGCTGCTAAGAAGGCTTCCTATGTTTCATGCGAGAGCTGAGCTGCGTTAAGGCGCTGCGCTGCCAGGATCTCGCGGGTCTTGACTAGTGTGGGGGAGTGTAGGGGTTTAGGGTTTAGGGTTTAGGATTGCAGACTCAGAGATCTCGATTTTCGACCCAGCGCTTCAAGCAGAAGGATGTCAGGGGTACTGCTGCAGCCCGTGTATTCGAGTGGTCCGATGATTTAAGCTCAGGGCTTCCCAAATGTAATCGTTCAGGACATGGAGGCCTGGGGTGGTGGTTTTAGAATGCAACCTACCGTTTCTGATGCTACCGAGTCGGCTGAGCTTTGACATCCCGTGGCTACGAAAACAGGGAAACTGCGAATAGAACGAGATGTTTTATGACAATGAGGCGATTGTTCTGTGCTGGACAGGCGAACGTTACAGAAGCGGCTCACGCCGGCGACCTTTGTGCAATCAGGACTTCTGCTGAAAGCCAGCACAAACATTGCATGCACTTGCTCACGCTTTGGATTTAATGATGTACCTTAAAACTAAACTCCATAGACTAGCCTCGATCCCCCAAACCTGAAGCCCTAAAACAAATCCAACAAGCCCCAAACTTCTCAAAAAGTTAGCTTCTCTGCTACTATTTGCTTAAGAACCCCCCCCCCAACCCGAACAAAAAAAACAGATAACAATACTCCCGAAATTACCCGTGTAAGGAAGAATAGTTTTTGGGGAACCCGCCAACTCCCTGGCCTGGCCCTCCGCGCCACCAGTGAGATTGTGAAACACCTGGGATGCGTTTTGGGGTTGGGGCTAGGAACCCTAAACCCTAAACCCTACACCCTCACAACCCTAACCCTAAGCCCTAAAAAACCTTTGGGGCTAGGAAACCTACAGCCTACAGCCACCCTGCTGCAGCTCGAACTGGGGCCCTAAAGAGAGCAATCACTTCGCAACTGAGGGTGCATTCACCTTTAGGATTTAGGGTTAAGGGCTTATAGGGTATAGGGTTTAGGGTTTAGGGTTTAGGGTTCAGGGTTTAGGGTTTATAGGGTTTAGGGTTTAAACGCCCCAGGGTGCATTCACCACTGACTCCTACCTGCATTCGCTTCCCACTCCCGCTCGCGCACGCGCCGTGCTGTTTTCATCGGTTCGGAGTCCAGTTCAAGACCAGAAGGTTGAGCCCACGGGCTTAGGATCCGGTTGTTGGACTTGGCGGATTTTGGGGGGGGTCTCGGGCTTTTGAGCCCAGAGAAATATAAGGTTTGAAGCGTGTTTTCTTGCAGGAGTGAGGGACAGTCAGCGTTTATGGTGCGGGTTGTCCAGGGTTAGTTGGCGTGGAGGGTTTGGCTTTGATCGGGTCCGGGTAGAATTTCCAGGGTGAAGATTTAGGATCTTTTGGGCACAATGGGAAAGGCCAAGAAAGTGAAATTTGAACAGTTTTAAGACGACCAGAAATTAAGGGATGGCAGAATTCGCGGACAGTGTCCTGTCCTACACATACCTACTAATTGCTCCAAGAACCCCGAAAAAATCCTTATGAAGGGTAACATAGGATGTTTATTGTCTATTCTTTTGGGGTTCATAAGCAAAGAGTAGATAAGGACACAGGCACATGGACGGCGGCCAATGTCAAGTCGAAGTCGAAGATGATGAGCTTTACGGGAACCTTCAGAGACGTTTAGTTGTGGGGCTGCGCGCTGGGTCTGGAAGAGTTTGGCCAATTGCCTTGGAGAGAAGGAGTGCATGGATTGAGTGAGGGCTTGCAGGTGCTTGATAACTGCAAGGCCTTGTTTTGGGAGCTTGAAGCCTCGAAACCTTGACGAACAAGCTTCATCAATACTGCGTGTCGCTATCTTGCCACGTCGCAGGCAGAAATAGATACTTGTGGTGGAACACAATTGCACGAGCGGGCTTGTATTCTGCCTTGAGGAGTGGGACGCCATCTGAGGCCAGTTCTATAGGCCCATAGCCTGTGAACCCAGTGAACCTCTAAACCCATCTCCAAATTCGAGGGGGTCCCATGGACATAATGTCCCTCAAACCAAGACTTGTCATCAACATAACCCGAATCCTGCCCCCTAAACCCTAAACCCTAAACCCTAAACCCGAAACCCTAAACCTAAACCCTAAACCAGACATTGACTTGAACCCATGCCCACGAACTTCGACATCAGACGCGGCGCCACGGCTGCCGCAGTTTTGCCAGTCATGTCCTGGCGTGGGGCCCTAAACCCTAAACCCTAGACCCTAGACCCTAAACCCTAAACCCTAAACGTCCGTGCGGCGGCTTCTGGGGATGACCCTGAGGATATGCCCCTCTTGATGTCTTAAGCTTCCGTACAAATCCGGGCTTAGTTAGAGTTTAGGGTTCAAGGCAATGAGAACCAGCTCAGCCATCTAACTGCAAGGGGTATCTACTCCAACAGCACACCTGTCTTCAAGCCATGAGCCCTGAAGCAGTCTACCGACGCCCAGACGCACTTCCTTCGAAGTAAACCGTGACGTTCATGGAGCAACACGCCGGTCGAGCTGCTCAGCTGAAAACCCATGGTGCGCATGAAAGTGCAAGTTCCGACGATCCACAGAGCGGATTAGGGTTCAGGGTGTAGGGTTGAGGGTTCAGGGTTTAGGGAGACTGCCCAAGTGAGGCAATACAGATAAGCTTGGATCGAAGCCGGCCCCCTGAAGGACATACCCAAAGATACCAGAAATTGAACGCGATGAAGCGAGACACCCAACAGGCTCGAGCTCCATACTGAATCTTTGTTGAAGTTGAGGTCAAGAAAGCAGCAACGCCTTCCATCACGAGCTCTTAGACCCACGACCCACAGACACGGGCACAAGATAGACACAAGCACACACACACAAGAGAACAAAACCAAAAAACACCAAACAAACAAACACGCAAAACAAAAAGATACCCAAACAAACGACCCCCCCCCCCCCCCCGGTAGCAAGGACTGATGGTGTTTTGGAAGCTACCCGAAACCCTAAACCCTAAACCCTGAACCCTGAACCCTAAATCCTAAACCCTAAACCCTAAACCCTAAACCCTAAACCCTAAACCCTAAACCCTCCATCTGATCGGCAAAGGCTCCCCAAGCTCCACCATCGAGACTCGGCCTGGCACAGAGGAGAGCGGGCCCTTTGGACCCCCCCATTGAAGCCTTAGAAACCTCTCGAAGGTTTAGGGTTTAGGGTTTAGGGTTTAGGGTTTAGGGTTTAGGGTTTAGGGTTTAGGGTATAGGGCTTAGGGCTTAGGATTTAGGGTTTAGGGACAGGCCTCTGGACGAAACCTCCTGAAACCTCTCGAAACCTGATGAAAACCCCTTGAAATCTCTCGCGAAACCTCTGAAGCCCCTTGAAACCGGATAGCCGTTGTAAACCGTCGTCAGACGCTTCAAGCCATGGAATGCCTTGGAGCAACAAACTTCTACCCGCTAAAACCCTGAAGCACAAATCCTGAAGCCTCCTAAAACCCCCAACTAACCATCTGTTGCACATACCTCAACCATCCTCAACCCTAAATCCTAAGCCCTAAACCCTAACCCTAAACCCTTTGCCCTAGGAAGCCTTCGGAGCTCACGAGCTTCTCCTCCTCCTCGGCATTCCTCGCATTCAATGCGTTGCCCAAGGCTTCAGGGTTTAATAGTTTAGGGTTTAGGGTTTAGGGTTTTAGGGTTTAGGGTTTTAGGGTTTAGGGTTTAGGGTTACTAAGGATTTCGGCTGATTGAGGGTTGAAGGTGCAGGCTGGTCCTTGACTAGGCGTAGAGGCTTTCGGAACCGTTTGGGGGGGGTGGGTGGGGGGGGGGGGGGGGGGGGGGGGGGGGGGGGGGGGGGGGGGGGGGGTATTCCGGGCAAAAAACCTTGTTGGGCTTCCGATGTTTCAGAGCTGTTAGAGCTGTGGGTCGTGGGAATCGCTGCTGAGTAACACAGGCAGGCCCTGCCAGACCTTCGAGTACCCTCAAATGGGGTTTAGGTTGAGTGTTTAGGGTATAGGGCCCCAAAAACCCAGCTGCGCTACACTTCCTTGTGCTTGAAGGGCTTTGCCAGCATGGCTTTGTAAGGCTGCAAGCAATGCTTTCCAACACAAAGTGTTATATAAATTCTGCACAGGTTGGTTGGAGGAAGTGTGTTAGCAAGCTTTGCTGTTCACAATCTTGCCTGGTAGCGACCTGCCGTACCTCGCGCCTGAGAGCTTTTGTATTTGTCGCCCCATCACTCACGCAGCCTGCCACTACTCCTGACCGAATCTTGTTGTACCCGTACGAATATACGTCATAGCAGACCTTGCTCGTGGCAAAAGACATCAAGGAAGGGGATGCAACAATGGAGATGCAGCTTTCCAAGAAGACAAGACGTTTGGCTAGTATAGGGGCCTCAATAATTAGAACAAGGTTTTGGGGGTTGTTGTAGGTAGTATAAAAAAAGTGACCATAAGGGAATACTATAGTAGTACTTCTTCCGACCCTATAGTATGCTCCCTGTAAGGACCTGGACTCACAGAACGTGTTCAACAAACAGGGATAGGCATCGGATTTTGACTGGTTTGGGTTCCGGTTCTTCGCTGGCCCTTCTGGGCTATCTGTTCTTGTCTATGAGCGAAACCGTCTGATGCTTCCTGACATCGATCGACCGCCAGGTGCACATGAGCTTTTTGCACCCCTAAACTCCTGAATATGATCACTGTGTGTCTCCAAGATTCGTGGCGCCCCGATAGCTAAAACTCCAAAACTTAAATGAGCCCACCCCCCCCCCGCTCCCGAATATTTGCTTAAGACCCCCCCCAAAAAAAATAAATAACAAAAAACAACAATCAGCACTATATTGCCCTTATAAGGAAGACTATGTTTTTTGTTTTTTGGGGGGTTTTAAAGATAATAGTAGCCTCCCCCCCCCCCCCCCCAAACCCCTGCCGAACAGGTGCTCGCCAAAGGCAGCGGCGGACCAGACTCTGGAGACAGTTTCCTGATCGGCTTCGGGCTTTGAAGCTCAGGGCTTACGAGCTCTCCACCCCCCCCCCCCCCCCCCACCCCCGCAAAAAAACAAGACGTGGGTTACGAGGCTTTGACCTCTAAACCCTAAACCCTAAACCCTGAACCCTAAACTCTAAAAGCAGTCGTCATGGTGGGAGGTTGGGTGCTGGAGGAGGCAACTCTGGAGCCCGCTTCTTAGAACCCCGAAGCCATTCTTCACCAGGGTTTAGGGTTTAGGGTTTAGGGTTCAGGGTTTAGGGGGTCGAGGCTCAACCCAGCTAAGAGTGCCCTCTCAGAACCTGAAGACACACCGCAGCCCAAGCCCCAAAGCCAGAAAAGCCGGAAAGACCCAAACACTGGAGCCAGTGAGCCCAGCCCAAAATGCTTCAAGTCCATGAGTCCATGAATGAACAACCTACACAAGCCCACTCGCGGCTTGGTATTGCCCCCCAAGCAGCGGAGGCAGGGGCAGGTTCTGGCACACTTCTCGCTGGCATGCCTCGCAAGCTAAAGGATGTCCCCTCCAAACCGAAATCACGGGCCCGATGCCCTGAGCCACCTCAACCCGCAAACCCTGAATCCGAGATCGCATGGGGTTTTCACATGAAGCCCCAAGCCCGATTGACTACTATTTGCCCCAAAGATTAAAAAAAAAAAAAAACGATATTCCCTACATTGCCCGTATAAGGAAGAACATTTTTATGTTTTAATTTGTTATTGATTTAGCTTTTTTCGGTTGATTTTGTTTTTTTCTTTTGGGGGGGTCGGGCTTCTTAAGCAGTTGGTAGTTGACAGCTAAAGCATGGCAGCCTGCACGTGCATGGCTGCTGCCAATGAAGCAGCTGTGAGCCGTGCTCACAATGAACGCTGGGTTGAGGGCTTAGGGTTTATAGCATTAGAAGAACAGCTGTAGCGCACAGAACTGTAGCTTGCACAGGGAGCTGCCTCGTGCACTACTCCTTGGACATTCATTGAGGCCGTCAAGGTTCTCCCGACACTCTTCATGTGCCACTGGCCTCACCGCCAGCACAACCATCTGCGGCTTGGAGAAAGTCCTGGGGACTAAACACGACCAGCGAGCAAGCAGTGCATCACTAGATTGGGGGGAGAGAATGCTCCATACGTGCTTGAATGATCCGTGTGCAAGGTTTGGGCTTTGGTTGAATATTTAGGATACATAAAAACAACACGCGCGGGTGCATGCATGCATATACGTGTGTATGTATGAATATGCGCGTACATATGTATATGTATATGTATACGTATATGCATATATACATACATATATATATATATATGGTACCCCCCCCCAAAGATCTACCGTTTCCCACCTTTTTTTCAACAATGAAACAAAATCCGTCTGCTTCATAGTGAATTTTCGCAATGCAATAAAACCCGTCTGCCTCACAATGATAATGCCCACGACGCCATTCAGAACTCTCTTCAAAGATTTCGAACGCCGGCCGTTTCAATTGAAACGTTTCCGTTTCAATTGAAACGGCCGGGATCCAAGATCCAAGATCCAAGATTTCCCAGGACTCTTGCCGAGGCATCTTGGAATCCCATATCTTGGATTCTGCCCGTTTCAACTGACATGTTTCCGTTTCAATTGAAACGGCCGGATTTGGATTTAGGATTCCAAGATGCCTCGGCAAGAGTCCTGGGAAATCTTGGATCTTGGATCGTGGATCCCGGCCGTTTCAATTGAAACGGAAACGTTTCAATTGAAACGGCCGGTTTTCGAGATCTGGGATTCCAAGATGCCTCAGCAAGAGTTCAGGGAAATCTTAGATCTTGGATCTTGGATCCCGGCCGTTTCAATTGAAACGGAAAAGTTTCAATTGTTGAACTTCAAAACTCCAGGTTCAGGATTCAAGATCCCGTGGAAACTTTTCCTGCAATCTTGAATCTTGAATCTTGGATCCCGGAGTTTTGAAGCTCAAAACTCTACGTTGAAGTTCAAAACTCACGGAACCCCATAGGGCTAAGGTTTGAAGGTTTAGGGCTTCAGGTTGAGGCATTAGAACCTGAGCCGGCAATTAAAACTAAACCCTTAACCTTTAAACCCTATAGGGTTAAGGTGTTAAGGTTTAGGGTTTACGATTTAGGAATTCAAACTTGAGCCGGTAGTTCAGCCTAAACTCTCGACCTTTCAACCCTATAGGGTTAAGGTTTCAAGGCTTAGGGCTCAAGATTTAGTCATTTAAAGCTAAGCCCATAGAGTTTAAACCTCAAGGGTTTAAGGTTTATAGGTATGAAAACATGAACCCTAGACCCTCTAGGGGTCTAAAAAGTTCAAGGGTGTTCAGCCCACAGACGCTGAAGGTATAAATGCCCAGCATTGAAACCTTGAAGCCCTAATGAGGGTTTTTTAAAGGTTTAAGGTCTGGGGATTGAAACCTAGGTTTGGGCATTCAAACTGGTTTAAGCCTTAATCCCTGTAGGGCTAGGTATTTAAACCGAATAGCTTCCCTTGAAACGCTATAGGTTTAAAGGTTGAGGTTCAAAACCTTTAAGCCTCTGGGGTTTAAAGGTTTAGGTTTTTGCAGAGTTTGTCTACCCTATGCGGGGTAGCCCTATAGGGTTTTAACGCTATAGGGTTCAAGGTTCAGGGTTTAAGAGGGCATTGCAACAACCCAACCCTAAACCCTCAGGGATTGAACCCCTTTACTGTTATCCTTAAGCCTTAAAGCATTTAGGGTTTAGGGTTATAACGCCGAAGAACCCTCAGGGATTTAACCCCTTTACTGCTTTCTTCCAGGCTGAAAGCATAAACGGTTTAGGGTTATAACGCTGAAGAACCCTCAGGAGGTTAACCCCTTTACTGTTTTCCTTAAGCCTTAAAGCATATAGGGTGTAGGGTTATCACGCTGAAGGTATAAATGCCCAGACCTTAGGTACATCAGGCTTAGGCATTAAAACCTTTAAGCCCTATAAGGTTGTTAAAGGTTTAAGGTCAAGCCTTAAACCCTATAGGGCCCTATAGGGTTACGGTTTTTTCAGGGTTTATCAACCCTAAACGCTATGAGGGGTTTAAGGTTTAGGGTTGAAGGTTCAGGGCATTGCAAAAACATAACCCTAAACCCTCAGGGATTTAACCGCTTTACTGTTTTCCTTAAGTCTTCAGGCATATAGAGTTTAGGGTTATAACGCCAAAATCTATAGGGCCTAAATCCTAACCGTAAATCCCATAGAGTTCTGCCTATGTTTGTAGGCCTCGCCTCCTGTGGAAATGCAAAGGAAAAGTAGAATAAGTACCCACGGCATGTATGTATATAGGGTATATATGTATTGCATATCAAATACAGATAATGGAGATCCTCGAACCATAAGACTATGAAGTATTCGAGCGCAAAAGGTGATGCGGAAAAAATCATGTACTGTAAGCCCCGGGGACGCGAGAATACTATGAGCAAAGACCTTTTCACTATTTCCCTCTTTATTGCCGGTTCGGTGTCTTGGGTTGGTGCAGGATCGGTTACCTATTGTTACGAGGGACTAGATCGGAAGGGATTCTGGATCGTAAAAGCATTACAAAAGGGCAGATCTCTGGGGGGGGGAAGCATATATATATATATATGGTACCCCCCCCCCAGTGACCTACCCTTTTTCGCCTTGTCTCAAGTCACCCAGCTGCACTGCAAGCAAACTCGGTGTGCAATATAGCGTATTTCCTAGGGCGTAGACTAGAATACAACTAAAATCGCATACACGGGACAGTAGAAAAACCAAAAAAAAAACAAAACCAAAAAAACCAAAAAACCAAAACCAAAAAAACCAAAAAACCAAAACCAAAAAAATCAAAAAAACCAAAACCAAAAAAACAAAAAAAACCAAAAAAAACAAAGCCAAAAAAACCAAAAATACCAAAAAACACCAATTTTCCGGGACTCTCAGGAAATCCCTATGAGGCTTCTCCAAGAGTCCCGGAAAATTGGTGTTTTTGGTATTTTTGGTTTTTTTGGTTTTGGTGTTTTTGGTTTTTTGGTTTTGGTATTTTGGCTTTTTGGTTCGCCTTCACGGTCACGAGGCAACAACTACGCATTTTTAAGTGTGCTTATGCTAATTGTGCTTTTCAGAAATAGTATACAAGTGGTCTTTCTAGTGCTTCAGAACTATTTGTTTCGGTATTATGTAAGTAGAGCCGCTAGTGTTTAGTGCATCTTTTGGTTGTACTCAAGTGTAGTAGACCTTATTCAGCCATTACTTGGTGCTCTGGTAGCTCAATTCGCATGGATAATATTTGCCGGGTACTTGCGATTAATTATCTAGAAGCAGCATTTGCAATACTTGTCTTGAGAAAAAACATTTATTGCTTAGAATTGTTTGCTTAAAAAGTGACTCCTACTCGTCCAGGAATACCCCAAAACCCTATAATCCAAACTTTAGCAGAGATTCTCCTGAAAAGCTTGCTTGCTTTTGGATGTGTTTATGTATTTGTGAATTTGCTTGTGTATGGCCTTCACTAAGTACTTTTCTAGGATTCTTGTGCATTTTTTAGGCCTGATTGTGCAAGTTGCGTTTTTCAGGCATAGTAAAAAAAGTGTGGTCTTTATTGAATACTTCAGACATCTTTGTTTCATCGTTATGTAAGTAGAACCGCTTCTATTTCCATTATTGTGCATTTTTTATGCTTGCTCATGCAAATTGTGCTTTTCAGACATAGTATATAAGTGGTCTTTAGTGAATACTTCAGCAATCTTTGTCTCATTGTTATGTAGGTAGAACCGTTTCCATTCCCGCAAGTGTTTTTTTCGTATTTGGTTGAGTATGGTCCTTTAAATAGTATTCATTTGAGTCAAATTGGGCTATTTGCTTAAGAATTCCTCTAGTAGTTAAATTCGCATAGAATGAATACTTAAAAAAATTGTTTCATGAATATGTAAACATAAGGTGTTTCATTTGACTTTGCAGATAGTACTTCAATAATACTTTGCCTGGTATAAACACAACTGTTTCAATGCATTAGTTGCTCAACAAAGCACTATTTGCCCTTTAAACCACACTTTGCCATGTGTTGGTTGAATGTGGTGCTTCTTTCGTATTTTGGTTGAGTATGGTCCTTTGGGCTATTTGCTTAATAATTTCTCTAGTAGCTAAATTCGCATAAAATGATTATTTCAAAAATAAAAACGGTTCATGAATATGTAAACATAAGGTATTTCAGTGGACTTTTCAGAGAGCATACTTTGCCTAGTACAAACACAATTGTATAAATACAGTATTTGCACTTTAAACGCACACTTTGCCATTTTTTGGTTGAGAATGGTGTTTGTTTCGTATCTTGGTTGAGTATGCTCCCTTAAATAGTATTCACTTGAGTCAAATTGGGCTCTTTGCTTAATAATTACTCTAGTACCTAAATTCGCATAGAACCAAGAAAAATGTTTCACTATTTGATTAATACCCTGCCTCGTACAAACACAATTGTATAAATAAATTAGTTGCTCAACAAAACATTAATTGCCCTTGAAACGCATAACTTGCATAGAAAAACACTGATCTAAACATCTAAAAACAGCATTGTCCGCTTCAGATTCAAAATGTAGATTCTTCCAATGCTGGCTTATCGGGGTCTGTGAGGTAGGTGTCCCAGTAACTGTCCTTCATTACCCGGGCTACTTTTGGGCCTTCTTTGTTATTTTTTGTTAAAAAGGCCTAAAAAGGCCTAAAAAGGGTAGGTCGCTGGGGGGGGGGGGTGCATACATATATATATATATATGCAAATGTTTGCATGCCCTAGATCTCATACAGAGCACAAGGGCTGCCGAACACACCCCACACAATGCAGCATTCTCCATGTCCTAGACAACACGAAAATGGCAGACCTATTTGGCCTGCAGAGAGTTTACGAGCCTACAACGTAACCTACCCCGTAAAACCTGAACCCAAAGTTTCAGCTGCAGGGGCCGGTGGTGTCGGAACACTTGTCCTGGGCTAGCCGAGGTTGCTCACGCGCCCATGCGTCTCTTGGCAGCTGGGAGAATTTTGAAGTGGGGAACTTCACACTGACGAGAAGAACGCAAGGAGATAAATCCTCAGGGCAAGGTGATATAGGGCCCTTTATGATTAGAATAGGCTTTTGAGGCCTATTATAGTATAACAGTATACTATTTAGGGATCATAGGCGAATACTGTCAGGAATTATTCCGACCCCGATGATATTGCGTCAAGGAGCCGAGCCAGAGTGCTTTGAAGCGCTCGAAGTCGAGGAAATGTCCCTGGGTCTCCAGCCCTTAGATTTTGTCTGTTGAGAAGAGTCCAGTCACAAATTCTCGGGAAAAATGACCCTAGGATTGAGAATTGTTGGGGTTTGGGATTAAATTAGGGGGGCCCCGCCGGCCTAAGAGCCTTTACAGGGCTTCAGCTCTTGCAAAGCCCACACCTTGACTAAGATGTTCTGAGAAGAACTTGCCCTAAACCCTAAACCCTAAACCCTAAACCCTAAACCCTAAACCCTAAACCCTAAACCCTAAACCCTAAACCCTAAACCCTAAACCCTAAACCCTAAACCCTAAACCCTAAACCCTAGCCGGAGAGCCTTCCATGTACAGCCGCATCCAGGTCCTGAGGCTTCTAGGCTAGACCCAGGAGGAACCTAGGAATAAAAAAGGGTGCCCTTTTTGGTTGCAAGGGGCTTTTTAGGTAACCTGAACCCTAAAGAAGGGAATAAGGGCCTACTCTGGGTCCGAGTAGGTCTAGGGAATCTTGGGTGTACAGTTCCGAAGTTCTCAAGGTTGCACCGTTGCATCCTAAACCCATGCTTGCCCTGGCACCAGGGGGCTTTGCGGATTGCGGGTCGAAGCAAATCCTTCCCCTTGGCATACATGGTTGATGAATGGATGTTCAGAGCCTTTTGGTGCAACTTAGTTCGATATCGCTCTTCTGGTTTTGGACAACTGCGTGAGGGCCTCAGGACTCAGGACCACCCAGCAGGGCATGGTTTCCGTATGGGGTTGCAGTACGAGTAACGAACATTCAAAATCCGAAGAATGACCCCCTGTCGAACCCTTTTACGCGCTTGCCCTGTCAACCTCTGTGAGCCCCTATGCCTTGAGCGCCAAACTCTGAATGTTCAAACCCACACCACCAAGCCTACTGGCCCCGGTCCTCCCCCCAGCCGGGAAAAGGGAGTTCAGCCAGGTCCGCTTGGCCAAGCACTGCGCGCAAACAGCGTAGCCGCACCTGTCACGCACTTGAAGTTCACAGGTCGCAGGGTTTAGGGTTTAGGGTTTAGGGTTTAGGGTTTAGGGTTCAGAGTAGTATAAGCAACCTTACTCACCTGTATTCGGCAACATACCTCACCTGTATTCTGCAACAATTAAATATTCTAAACTCACTGGCGGTGCTTCGTATCATTGACTGGTGGCTTCGTGCCACCACGGAACCTTCAAATTGGGTTCAGGTGTCGGTCTTCCGGGCCACATTGGCAGCTCTAGGGGGGGGGGGGAAGCTTCGACGAAGGGGCGTTTGTACATATACATATACCACGTATATGAATATACATATGTATGTGTATTATATATATATATGTATATATATATATATGTATGTATGTGCATGCTCTGGTAAAGATAGAGCCGGTGTTCCTGTACAGCCGGTGTTCCCGTACATACTTTCTTGGGTCTGTCCACTTGTATGATACCTCGCAGTTTCGACATCGTACTGCGCAACAAAAATGCTTCTTCGATTAAGAATGTTTCCTCTTGGGAGGGGGGGGGGTAGAAGAGTTCCCCCAAAAAAGTTCAACCTATTCAACCGAGATCAGACCCGAAAGCCTACCCTTGATAAGACCCGAAAGCCAACACCCTGACTTCGAAGGCTTCCCCACGCTGTCCGGCGGTTCTGGGAAGTAACTATATAGAGATTTCCGACATTAGGGGGGGGTACCTTATTGGGGTCCTCATTATCAGGGAATCCTGCTATTTGGGGGTCTATATTGGGTCCCTTATTTTCGTAGTCTCCCATATGGGGCTTACACTGGGCTGCCCAGTAACCTAGGCTGAAAAAGGGTGCCCTTTTTTGCTTAAAGGGGTTTATAAGGGAACCTAAACTCCCCAAAAAGGGAATAAGGGTACTACTGGGCATCCTAGTACAAGAAGTGCTGTCAAGGCCACACCAAGCAATGTGTTGGGTCGCCAACATCCAGGCCTCTGAACATCAAGTCTTCAGAGGGCTCGCAGCCAAAAAGCTACTTGGACTCTCTCACTGGTGGCAGCCCCAGGAAACCCTAAACCCTAAACCCTAAACCCTAAACCCTAAACCCTGAAAGCTCACCGGGATATACACCAAGCTCTGTCTTGGATTGACGCATGGGGTATATATCACAATCAAATGGCGGATCATTGGGCTCGTGAAGCTGCAAAGTTGTTACCTGCCTCTGCTCTGCAGGCTTTCCATTCTTTTCGGGCTGACACGTTATGTATTTCTGCTACCAAGGCTGCTGTCGCGGGTCTTCTTCGTGCTGTATGGGATGCTTTTCTCTAGTTTTCTTCTATCTCACACGCCATCTGCAAGGGCAGGCAGATCATAGACTTTGGACCGTCCTGTTTTGAGTGCACGTGCCTAAACCCTAAAAAACCCTAAACCCTAAACCTCATGAATCGTGGAGGCGCGTGTATGTTCTCGTGGCCTAACGCAGCTTGGCCGCTGTGACTATGCTTCGACCCTAGGGTTTAGGGTTTAGGGCTATTCCTACTTGAGCTTCTGGCGCCTGCGTGTCCAATGAATTCATATGGGAGTTGCGACAATTCGGGACCCGAAATAGTAGGAATCCCAAGTAAGAAGGACCCCAGTAAGGTACCCCCGAATTTCGGAAACCCGCCCTATGAGCTATGAGCAAAGAAGTTGGCTGGCGCAAGTGCTCTCTCGAAGAACAGATGTGCTTGAACCAAGTCGCTTTCTCTTTCCTGTAGGCCCTCGAGGCAAACATTGCAGTGTTGGTGGCTCCGCCTGGGCGAAATGCGCTTTGGTCTCCTTTTGTACAGACATCGAAGGAAGCCATCAACAATTAAACCTTGAAGCCCCCAAACCCCAAACCCCAAACCCTAAACGCTAAACCCTTATTCAAATCTGCTCCGAACATGTCAGGGCTTGCTGCTAACGCACAATGGGGTTTAGGGTTTAGGTTTAGGGTTTAGGGCTTAGGGTTTCGGGTTTAGGGTTTAAGTTTAGGGTTTAAGTTTAGGGTTCAGGGTTTGGGGACCTCAGCCCTAAAAGATTGTCTCCCAGAATGGCTCAAGGATCTTGAGCTGACGTTCTTAACCCTAAACCCTAAACCCTAAACCCTAAACCCTAAACCCTAAACCCTAAACCCTAAACCCTAAACCTTGAAACTCCCCCAGAACAAGGTCGCCCCCAAGCTGCACGAGGGCGCTGGTGGGAGCTGGCGCCTGCCCACCCTGGATGTTTAGGGTTTAGGGTTTAGGGTTTGGGGTTTAGGGTTTAGGGTTTGGGGTTTAGGGTTTAGGGTTTAGGAATTTAGGGTTTAGGGCGAAGGATCAAAGAGGGTCAAGAGGGGTTTGAAGAAGTCAGGCCAATGCAGGTTGGAGATAAGGCATGCATTTAGCCGAGGATGGTTTTCACCAGGCTTTTCGGGTTCAGCAGCGACGGATGGGCAAGTGTGCTACGCGCAACCCACTCGGAAACAACACGGCCGCCCTAGTGAACTTCAGCCCTAAACCCTAAACCCCAAACCCTTAACGCTACACTCCAGGCCCTGAAATATTGAAGCCTATAGTGGCTAGTGTTGTGCTGTCTAGTGCTTCTGGGTTTTGGATGACTTTGGGGCGTTATAGGGGTTGAGGCCATGAGCCCCCCAAACCTCTCAACAGTTCACGCAGGGCCGGGTTGCTCTGACGCTGTGGCCCAGTGGGCATTGCAACATGAGCTGGTTACCATGGCCTGCGTGGCTCGAGATTAGGGCTCGGCTTCTCAACATCTGGGGCTGGGCTGGTGGCATGCGGGGGTTTAGGGGTTTACGGGTTTAGGGGTTTAGGGTTGGGGATGAGATCGGAGCATATCGGACCTGTAGGTGGTTTAGGGGTTTAGGGTTTAGGGTTTAGGGCTCTACCAAGGGTGCCATGGAGGGATCCTGTTGCAAGGGGGGCCCTAAGGTGTTCACTTAGGAAAGCTGAGGGGTCAAGGTGTGGTGTTCATGCTGGCTCAAATACGGGGCTTCCTAAATTAGGGGTACCTTATTGGGGTCCGTTTTATCAGGGAATCCCACTATTTGGGGATCTAAGTTGGGGATCCCCTATTTTCGTAAACCCCCCATGCAGGTACTGGAAGGCTCGCCAGCAATCGCAAAAGTAGGATGAGCGCAGAGTCTCCGACCCTAAACCCTAAACCCTAAACCCTGTGCGGAGCTGCAACTGGTATTGTAGAAAAGAGTTAGTTGAGGGTTGGAAGGGTCAATGAACCCAGAAATCTTGTATGGCTCAAGATGGCCAAGAGCCGTCAGCTTTTGTTGAAAAAGTACGTACGCCTGGGGTTGGGTTTAACGGGTTGGAGTAGTCCCGTCCCTTCTCCCTTATCCTGTCCCCGTAGGGGTGGGTGTTCTTGTTTCTGGTTCGATCTGGGAAATCATATAGGCAACTGTTGAGGGTTGGTTTCTTTCCCTGTTCCCTTTCGGTTGCCCCCGTAGGTTATGAGCCCAAGTTAGGTTCCCTGCGGTTGAGTGTTGTCTTAAGATCTTTCGGATCAAGAAGCAATGCCTTCTCCCAAGCGATGGCTCCAACCTTCCTCGGATGGTGGACAGAATGGTGGAGCTGGAAATGGTGCAGCTGAGTCTCTGGGTGAAAGAGCGGTGCTGGAAGAGGTGATTCCCGGCGCTGAAGAACATCTGGAAGAAGCCTTGGTTGCGGAAAACCCCAATGTGGGTATGAATCCCAATGTGGATATGGTTAGCAATGGCAAAAAGAGGTCCCTAGAAAGGGAGTCCAGCAAGGATATTCCTGCAGAAAAAGAAGTGGTTGAGACTTCGGAGACGGAGGTTGCCGTTGAGGAGGAGATGAAAAAGGTCAAAAAGAAGAGGAAAGCTGCAGTTATCGAAGATCCTTACACTCTCATGGTTCCAAAGCCGAAGAAGATGCCGGCGATCATTGAGAAGGGTGGATCATCATCCAATGTGGTGGTCTCTGCAGTGGAAAAAGCCTCGAAAATGCGCACAAAGTCAAATGTCGGTGGAAAGACAAAGAAGAAGGAGAAAAGTCAGAGTCCCAAAAAGGAAGAGGTGGTAATGGTGCAAGGTCCTGAGGAAAAGGATCGTCCATCTGATGCGGATGCACCAGCGTCTACCACTGTGAATGCGGAGCTGGGTCAATCTTGCCAAGCGATTGAGGACGCAAAGAGAGAAGGATTGGTATCCTCAATTCAAAGGTGCGTGCAGGATCCTGTTCTTACAGTTTCAGACCTGGAGTATATTCTGCTGCAACTTCACCTCAAAATTGCCAACAATCGGAAAAAGAAGTGATTGGATGGTATGGATGAAGGGATGGTTTTTCTCTTTCTGGAGACAGGTGCGCTGGAACAGCCAATGTGCTGACAATGTGGTGGTTACTATTAAGGGTATGGAAATCCCTGATAGTAGAAGTTAGTAGTTTTTCGCGTAGCGAAGACCACGGTTTGTGGTGAAGAAGGCCGAAGAGTCTTCAATGATAAGAGGATCATGGTGGAAAAAGATTCTCTGTGGTTAGTGTGTTTAGCCAATGTGCTATAATTTCGTCCTGGATGACGTAAAACCATATTGTGCATTTCAAGCAGCTGGCTGCTGCCTTAATGGCAGTTTTTGGCCAAAAGATCTGCACCTCCAATGTGTCCTAGGAAATCCTAGGACAGGGGGAGTGCGGAGCTGCAACTGGTATTGTAGAAAAGAGTTAGTGTTGAGGGTTGGAAGGGTCAATGAACCCGGAAATCTTGTATGGCTCAAGATGGCCAAGAGCCGTCAGCTTTTGTTGAAAAAGTACGTACGCCTGGGGTTGGGTTTAACGGGTTGGAGTAGTCCCGTCCCTTCTCCCTTATCCTGTCCCCGTAGGGGTGGGTGTTCTTGTTTCTGGTTCGATCTGGGAAATCCATATAGGCAACTGTTGAGGGTTGGTTTCTTTCCCTGTTCCCTTTCGGTTGCCCCCGTACCCTGAACCCTAAACCCTAAACCCTAAACCCTATAGCATGCTGCTTCGATGCCCAGCTCATTCAGCTACTAAGTGTTGCAGGCTTGGAGTTCCAGGAGAAAACTGTGTGAGCCCCGCCTTCCGTTATCTTCAGCATGCCGGCCATGTCGTCAGCCAGGATGAAGTTGTCTGGGTCCACGTGTATCTGGGTGCAGTCGCCGATTTGCACAAGAATCGTGCAGGTAAAAGCATGCCACGCGATAAACCCTAAACCCTAAACCCTAAATCCTAAACCCTAAACCCCAAACCGTAAACCCAACCTGCATACCCCGAATCCTGGCAGAGTGGGGCCTCAGTGCATCGTTGCCAGGTAAGTTTCCCCGCGCAGATCTCTACAAGGAGAGCTCCAAATACTGCCCATCCCGGGCCAAATTGGGGGTCGCCGTCAGCACTGCCTGTTCTACTGCGGAGCATGGAACCCAGAACTGCTAAAAGCTCGAGCATCCACGTCATTTCTAAACCCCACGATGCTTCGTGCAGTTTAGGTTTAGGGTTTAGGTTTAGGATTTAGGGCTCAGGGGGTTTAGGTTTTCGGGATCTAGGGGTCGAGTTTTCGCGGCTTGCTGTCGAGGTGCCTTCACGTGCTCCTCGCAAAGCAGTGTGCGGAGAGCTCTGTTAGCCAAATCCCCAACCCATATTGCCCTCAAGAATGCAAAGCATCTCTATTCTCACACGTCTTAATATTGAGCCATCCGGTGCGGATCTACGCCTCCTGTTGTGTGTAAGGTGCTGGCAGCTATTGTTGTCACAACCTCCCTTGCCCTGTATGCATGAGAGGGTTTACGAAAATGGGGGACCCCCTAAATAGACCCCAAAATAGTAGGATCCCCTTATCCGCCGACCCCAGGCGGGGGCGGCGTCAGTGAAGACCCACTGCTTTTTATACTACCTTCCAGACCTCCATGCTGGCCCCCATCCCTGGCTATCTCACCACCCCCCCCCAACCCCGCTACCCCCCCCCGCCCCGCCCCATGGCCCCATGGTCCCCTGGCCCTATGCCTCTAGACCCGATCTGATGACTTTATCAGATGACATTAAAGGGACCCATGGCTCCTGGCCTCATAAAGGGCCCCAGTGCATGCCTGCCCTGCGCTTGCTCAGCCCTTCCCTCCGCCCGCCACTCATGGCCCCATCCCTTCGGCCCCTATGGCTCCATGGCCCCATCTTCTCGACCTCAAGGGCCCCAGTGGACGCCCATCCTTGGCCCCAGGGCCCCAGCCCCATGCCCCATGGTCCCTGTGGCCCGATGCCTCTAGACCCGATCTTCTTTAAGTGCATGCCCGCCGCCCGCTCCGCTTGCTCCGCCCTTCCCCCGCTCCACCCGCTCCATGGCCCTCGAGCCCCCACGGCCCCCAACCCATGCCTCCATGGCCCCATGGCTCCTGGCGCTATATCCAATGTTTTATGCTTCGGCTTGGACGGCCAACCCCCTACTTTGTGGCTCCTGGCCCCATGGCCCCATGGTCGCCTGGCCCTATGCCGCCCTCCATGGCCCTCGAATTGCATGGCCCCCATGGACCCATGCCTCCATGGCCCCATGGCCTCGACCCCCATGCACCTGCATGGACCTATGCTGTCTCCATGCTTCGGCTTGACGGCCAACCCCCTACTTTGCGGCTCCTGGCCCCATGGCCCCATGGTCCCCTGGCCCTATGCCTCTAGACCCAAGCAAATGACTTTAAAGGGCCCCAGTGCATGCCCGCCCGCTCCGCCCGCTCTGCTTGCTCCGCCCTCCATGGCCCTGGACTTGGCCTGGACCCATGCCTCCATGGCCCCATGGCCTCAACCCCCATGGCCTGCATGGACCTATGCTTCCATGGCCCCATGGCTCCTGGCGCCATGGCCCCCAATGTCTCCATGCTTCCACGGCCAACCCCCTACTTTGTGGCTCCTGGCCCCATGGCCCCATGGTCCCCTGACCCTATGCCTCCAGACCCAATCAAATGACTTTAAAGGGCCCCAGTGCATGCCCGCCCGCTCCGCCCGCTCCGCTTGCTCCGCCCTTCCCCGCTCCACCCGCCCTCCATGGCCCTCGACCCCCATGACCCCCATGGACCCATGCCTCCATGGCCCCATGGCTCCTGGCGCCATGGCCCCCAATGTCTCCATGCTTCTGACGGCCCTACTTTGTGGCTCCTAACCCCATGGCCCCATGGTCCCCTGGCCTATGCCTCTAGACCCAATCCACTGACTTTAAAGGGCCGCAGTGCATGCCACCCGCCCCGCCCGCTCCGCCCGCTCCGCTTGCTCCGCCCTTCCCCCGCTCCACCGCCGACCCCCTACTTTGTGGCTCCTGGCCCCGTGGCCCTGGCCCTATGCCTCTAGACCCAATCGAAAATGACTTTAAAGGGCCCGCCCGCTCCGCCTGCTCCGTTTTTCCGCCGCTCCACCCCCCATGCTCCTGGCGCCATGGCCCCCAATGTCTCCATGCTTCCACGGCCAACCCCCTACTTTGTGGCTCCTGGCCCCATGGCCATGGTCTGCCTCTAGACCCAATCAAAGCGCATGCCCGGCCGCTCCGCCCCCCCCGCTCCACCCCCCATGGCCCCCATGGACCCATGCCCCATGGCTCGGCCACCCGCCCTCCATGGCCCTCGACCCCCATGACCCCCATATGGACCCATGCCTCCATGGCCCCATGGCTCCTGGCGCCATGTGGTTGCACGGCCAACCCCTACTTTTGGCTCCTTCCCCCATGGCCCCATGGTCCCCTTGCCCTATGCCTCTAGACCGTTCCGCTTGCTCCGCCCTTCCCCCGCTCCACCCGCCCTCCATGGCCCTCGACTCCCATGAATGGCTCCTGGCGCCATGGCCCCCAATGTCCATGGTTGGATGGCCAACCCCCTGCTTTTTGTGGCTCCTGGCCCCATGGCCCCATGGTCCCCTGGCCCTATGCCTCGATCTAGACCCAATCAAATGACTTTAAAGGGCCCCAGTGCATGCCCGCCCGCTCCGCCCGCTCCGCTTGCTCCGCCCTTCCCCTCCGCCCGCTCCGCTTGCTCCCCCCTTCCCCCGCTCCACCCACCGTCCATGGCCCTCGACCCCCATGGCCCCCATGGACCCATGCCTCCATGGCCCCATGCCTCCTGGCGCCATGGCAATGTCTGGATGCTTCGACCCCTTTGAAGTCATTTGATTGGGTTTAGGGCCAGGAGCCACAAAGTAGGGGTTGGCCGTCGAAGCATGGAGACATTGGGGGCCAAACCCAGGAGCCATGGGGCCATGGAGGCATGGGTCCATGGGGGCCATGGGGGTTGAGGGCCATGGAGGGCGGGTGGAGCGGGGGAAGGGCGGAGCAAGCGGAGCGGGCGGAGCGGGCGGGCATGCACTGGGGCCCTTTAAAGAGGCATAGGGCTAGGGGACCATGGGGCCATGGGGCCAGGAGCCACAAAGTAGGGGGTTGGCCTGCATGCCCGCCCGCTCCGCCCTCCCCCGCTCCACCCGCCCTCCATGGCCCTCGACCCCATGGCTCCTGGCGCCATGGCCCCCAACTTGGAAGGGCGTCGGTTTCGTAAGTGAATAGGCTTGTTAACGAAAATAATATCTCGTGTAAGTGAACATAATAATACGGGTAAGCATGGTTTATTGCATTTATAAGTATGCTATGGTGCATATTTATTTTGTTACATTTAGTATGTTGGTAGCATGGACATATATTTAAAAAATAAATGATGTAGATGGATAGCACCAATATATGTCTAAAACAATAATTATAGATAATTGCACTAAATGATTATACGAATTTAATGTGACTCATTTACCCTACTTAGCTAAACACACTTGTTTGTTTTAGCAAGCAAGCTAAATCAGTTTGTTTGTAAAGGAGGAATGGCATTGGAGACCATTCCGAAGAAGCAAATGTTTTTTAAACCGTGGATGCAAGATGTTTGCAGAGTTGCATATATGTGTGCTCGCTGGCAGTCATGGCACGATCGAGATGCCAATTTAAGCAGGGCACGCATGTTTGTGATTGTGGGTATTTGCAGCTTGTTGCTCAGACTTTTGCTTGTGAAGATTCAGCACCGTCAGTTTTGGCATGATTCCTGCAGATGTTGATCGCCGAGTCAGCATGCTCTTGGAGGGTGCAGCCACTGGAGAGAAGTTGGTGAACACAGTTCACCAAATCATGCAGGTTTTGAGAGACAATGGGCTCGTAAGCTCTATGAGACTGCTTCCCTCGGCAGTTGGGGTCCATCCCAAAAATAGGGATGGCATGGGCTTGAACAGCTCTGACGTCCACACTCTTCTTTCGAACCTCCTCGAAGTAGGATTCGTGTCGGAGAGGACACATTGTGTTGCTATCGAGCCAGCGAACGATGAAGAATTGAAATGGAATCAGCAGCTCATCGACAGTTGCCAGGGGCTGCTGGGGACGATGAAACCTCTGCAGACACTGAAGGCATTGAGCCTTTGTGGCAGTCACACCAATTTTGTTCTTCGGGTCATCGCCGATGCTGCCCCTCATCAGGGCCCCGAGAGCGAAAAGGTCACCGTGGGAGGCCGGCTTGATGTGGGGTTGGTGTCCAAGGTCGACAAAGCCCTCGCCGACCATGTTCGGCATGGCTTGAATTGGGAGGTGTTGTCGTCATCGGTGGGCCTTCGCTGGCCAGAACTCTTGCAGATGATCCAAGCTGCAGGGAATGCTACCCTACAGAAGAGCGAGTCCGAGTTGCAGTGCTCAGGAAGACATTCGAACTCATCGTGTCACAGCAGAAGGCCGGCATCCAGCTGGACTTCAACGGCATCAAGAAGAAAGCACTCTCATCCCGCCCGGCCTGTGGCAATTCCTTCGCTCACTTTTACCAGTTCGCTTTAAAGCTTCTTGTCCTCAGCATGTATCGCTTGCAGGGCTATATAGCTCGCATTGCAGATAGACCTTGTTTGTTGCATGCCAGCATGTGAGTATAGTTGGGTCTGCATATAGGTTTTTTGTAGAGCAGGTATTGTGGTGGAGCCGAAGGCCTCTTCTTGACAGAGACGGAGAGGTTCGTGAGGGCCAGGGGCTCCACGACAGCACTCGGCGAGAAGGTGTGGGAGGCGATCTGTCATGAAATCAAAGGCAGCAAGAGCCAGCTGCCCTTCCTTCGGCACGGGTTGCTGAAACTCGCCATGACCGGCATGCACTTGAGTGCCACAGATTGCAAGCGAGTTTTCAGCAACAGCTCCATGGTTGGCAAGGCTGTGAAGGCTGACGGGCTCATGTCCCAGCTCCGAACACTGGCTACTCAAGCGAGCCACGGAGCTCTCGCCGACCAGAAGCTTGTGAATGTCTTGGGAGTGGTGGACTCCAACATGGTGGCTCATGTGATGAACATGCAGGTCGCAGATGAGAAAAAATACAGATCTCTGGAGGGCATCTGCCACGATGCTGTGTCGATTGTCGCCAGGGTCCTCGGTGTGCCGATTGCTTCCCCGTGGGAGGCCCATGCCGAAGCACTCCCTGCAGCCGAATCCGGAGGGAAAGCAGCAGATCGACTCGTTGAGCTTAACCCGGACGGGTCCATGAAGCAGCCAGGTGAAATCTTGGAAGCTATGTCTATCAAGCCTGGAACGTTCGTTCGCCGGAAGAAGAACAAAGTCGAATGCG